ACTAGAAGGATGTGCAGCTACGACATACAACTATCCACTGGGGCTTTGGGGGGAAAAATAAAATAAATAAAATCTTAAAAAAAAAAAAAAAAAAAGAAATGTGTTGTTTAATTTCCACCTATTTGTGAATTTCTAAAATTTCCTTTTGTTATTGATCTATAACTTCATTCCATTGTGGCCAGAGAACATACTTTATATGATTTGAAACCTTTAAAATTTGAGACTTGTTTTATGGACTACCATATGGTCTATCCTGGAGAATGTTCCATGTGTACTTGAGAATGTGTATTCTGTTGTAATTAGGTGGAGTCTTCCATAGTTGCCTTGTTGGTCTAGTTGGTTTATAGTCTTAAGTCTTCAGTGTCAGTGCTGATCTTTTGTCCAGCTGTTCTATACATTATTGAATATGGGGTATTAAAGACTCCAACTATTATTTTTGAATTGTGTATTTCTCTTTTTAATTCTATCAGTTTTTGCTTATGTACTTTGGGATCTGTTGTTAGGTATATATATATGTTTATAGTTTTTATATTTTCTTGATAGATTAAACTTGTTATCATTACATAATATCCTCTCATAAAAATTTCTTACTTAAGGTCTATTTTATCTGATATTGGTATAGCCACTCTATTTTTTTTGTTATTGTTTGCATAGAATATATTTTTCCATCCTTCTACTTTCAACCTATTTATGTCTTGAATCTGGAGTCTCTTGTAGATAGCATATAGTTGGGTCATTTTTTTTTTTTAGTATTTTTTTTTTTTAAATATTTATTTATTTAGTGTGTGTGTGTGTGTGTGTGTGCGCGTGCGTGGAAGATCAGCCCTGAGCTAACATCCATGCCAATCCTCCTCTTTTTGCTGAGGGAAGACTGACCTTGAGCTAACATCCATGCCGATCTTCCTCCACTTTATATGGGACGCCGCCACAGCATGGCCTGACAAGCAGTGTGCTGGTGCGCGCCCAGGATCTGAACCCGGGCCGCCAGCAGTGGAGCACGCGCTCTTAACCGCTACACCATGGGGCCAGCCCCCTAGTTGGGTCATTTTTTTAAGAAAAATTCATTCTGCCAATCTCTGCATTTACTTGGAGAGTTTAATCCATTTATTTCTATTATAATTACTGGTCAGGAAGGACTTACTACTGCCATTTTGCTATTTGTTATTCATATGTGTTATACCTTTTTTGTTCCTCAATTTCTCCATATCTGCCATCTTTTGTGTGAAATAGATATTTTCTAATGTACCACTTTAATTCCCTTGTCGTTTACTATATTTTAAAAGTTATTTTCTTAGTTGTTTTCCTGGGGATTATAATTAATATCTTAATTTATAACAATCTAGTTTGGATTAATACCAACTTGATTTCAATAGTATACTAAAACTTTTCCCTTACATAACTCCATTCTCTTCCCCCTTTCTTATGCTATTATCATCATACAAATTAGATCTTTAAAAATTATATACTCATCAACATAGATTTATAATTATTGCTTTATGTAGGTATCTTTTTTTTTTTTTTGTGAGGAAGATCAGCCCTGAGCTAACATCCATGTCAATCCTCCTCTTTTTGCTGAGGAAGACCGGCTCTGAGCCAACATCTATTGCCAATCCTCCTCCTTTTTTTTTTCCCCAAAGCCCCAGTAGATAGTTGTATGTCATAGTTGCACATTCTTCTAGTTGCTGTATGTGGGACGCAGCCTCAGCATGGCCGGAGAAGCGGTGCGTCAGTGCGCGCCCAGGATCCGAACCTGGGCCACCAGTAGCGGAGTGCGCGCACCCAACCGCTAAGCCACGGGGCTGGCCCTATGCAGCTCTCTTTTAATTTAGATTGGAGAAAACAAGAGTTACAAACAGAAAATATATCTATACTGTCTTTTTAATTTACCTAGGTAGTTATCATTATTGGTGCTCTTTATTGCTTCATGAAGACTCAAGTTACTGTCCAATGCCCTTTAATTTCTGCCTGAAGGACTCTCTTTAGCATTTCTTGTAGGGTAGGTCTGCTAGCAATAAATTCTCTCAGTTTTTGCTTATCTGAGAACACCTTATTTTCTCCTTCATTTTTGGATAGTTTTGTCCGATACAGACAATCTTTTCTTTCAGCACTTTAAATATGTCCTTACATTGCATTCTGATCTTCATGGTTTCTAATGAAAAACTGGCTGTTAATCTTAGTGAGGATCCCTTGTACTTGATGATTTGCTTCTCTCTTGCTGCTTTCAAGATTCTCTTTTTGTTTTTATCTTTCAATATTTTGTTTATGATGTGTTTTGGTGTGGATCTCTTTAAGTTTATCCTACTTGGGTTTTGTTGAGCTTCTTGGATGTGTAGATTCATGTTTTTCATCAAATTCGGAAAGTTTTCACTGGTTATTTCTTTAAATATTCTATCTGCACTTTTCTCTCTATCCTCTCCTGGGACTCCCATTATGTGTATATTGATATGCTTGATGGTGTTTCACAGGTCTCTGAGGCTCTGTGCATTTTTCTTCATTCTTTTTTCTTTGTTCCTCAGACTGGATAATCTCAATTGACCTATCTTCAATTTTGTTGATTCTTCTGCCTGCTTAAATCTGCTGCTGAGCCCCTCTGACGTACATTTCATTTCAGTTATTATACTTTTCAACTCCCGAATTTATATTTGGTTCCTTTTTTATAAAAAAAAAAATTATAGAAACTTTTTAATTAAAAAATTCTATTTTTTTATATTCTTTATTGGGGAGACATTGTTTTTATACTTCACTTTAGTTATTTAGATATTGTTTCCTTTAGTTCTTTGAATATAGTTAAACTAGCCATTTTAAAGAGTTTTAAACTGTCAGACAGGTCAAATTATGACAATTCTCTGAGAACTTTCACAGGACAGAAGCTTCAAGTCCATCTGGCTCTCTCTAGTGGCTGCCAGGCTGCTGGTTTTCACAGGGATGAGAAGATGGCTTTCAAGGCTACTGTGGAACTGAGCAGGGGGGATGGTATACGGCAAATTAAAATGCCACAAAGCTTGTTGCTTTTACCAAGATTCTGCTGTCTTTCTTGAATAAACACTCTTCAGATTGTTAAAAGCCTTTGTAATTTCCAAGGTTCTGAAAAAGTTGATTTTGACAATTTTTGTCAGTGTTTTTGTTGCTTTTATGTAGGAGGGAATTTTTGGAGATTCATACCATGCCATTCCTGTTGATGTCCTAATTCTGTATGTTAAGTAAAAATATACACACATGGAAAAACTAATATTTTCTCCCCACATTCTGATACATCATCCAGTGTACTCCATTTAGGAGGTTAGCAGTGTAAAATAAAATCTTCAAAAAACTCAATTGAGGTTTATGGCATTTCTGAAGGCCACACCACATGGCATCATATGATTGTGATGGCTCCTCTTAACTTTTCCAGACCTCCCTATGGGACCTCCATTCCCCTGGTCAGCTGAGTTGAAACTCAGGATTATCTGACACTTCCCTTACTCTTCTTCTTCCACATCCCCTCAAGTCTTCCTTCAGTCTTATTCATATATAACCTTTCTTTCCATTACCAGTGAACCATTACCTCTTACCTGCCACCAGTCCCTCTCTACTCTGCTTACCAACAATAAGTGAATCTTCATATAAATATGACTTTGATGAGTTCACTCCAGGGATCAGAGGCTTCCATCAACCTTACCTTGTCTTCTTCTGGATAAAATCTAGTCTTTTTAATGTGGCCCTCCAAGTTTTCAAAATCTGGAACCAGTCTGAACTAGAGGTCAGACAACTTGGGTTCTGATTCCGGCTTAGTTCTTGTGGAAGCTCCCATACCTATTTTATGGGGCATAGGACATTATTGAGCACCTACTATGTGCTGAACTTAGAGTCAGTTCATGGAGATATAGATAAGTAAACCTGTAGTTATAATATATTGTAGCTAAGAACTATGTAGAATGATCAATTGAGAAGATATTTCAGAAAGTACCTTGAAAATATGAAGAATGGCAGAAGTGAAAGGTATTACTGCATTTTTTTTTCTTATTTATTTACCTCCAGTATAATACCCTCAAAGATTTAGTGAAGTGTTATGGTGGCAAATGCTTATATAATCGGTTTTCTTCCCTAAAAATAAGACGTTGTTGTGAGATCCCTGGGACTTCTGCATATATAGGAGGCCACATAAATACCTGTTGACCTTGTAGCATTTGTGTCCTCATCTTTATAGCAGGGATGATACCTGTCCTGCTTACTTCTCAGGACTGTGGTGAAGGACCCACAGGAGAAGACACATATAGGGTCCTTGTGAAATGCCTTGCAAATCCCACTTATTATCAAAACAATTATTATAAAAAAATAAAAATAAATAATAAAAATAAATAATAAAAATACTCTCATTTTTTATCACCTATGCATCTCAAGTCGTCGTGTCTTCATCTGAACATTGGCTTGGGCAATTTAATGAGAATAAGTAACTTATCTCTGTTAAGCATTTTTTGGGCTACTTTTTGTGCTTAGAGTTCTATAAACACACTGTGAAAACATTAACGACTACTGATATGTCACCAAAAACAACCAAGGAGGAAAAGAAAAGCAGTTACTTACGCTCTGCTTTTAACTGTCCAAGGATGGAATTTTCTCCTCTGCACATGGTTCTGGACATATATAAAGGAAAGAAATAATTATGGAGATTTCAAAGGAACCAATCCCATTGCAATATCTGTGGGCTATAGACTTAATCCAAGTAAAAACACAAGTGCTTTTATGAGAAGATGCTACATAGATGTTTTAAAAGCTAAAAAACCACATGAATATCACTTGTAATGTCACTGATGGGACAAGGTAGTTGTGTTGAGTTGGGTAAATGGAAAAGTTATAAAATTGATGTTAGATTTCAGAAAGAGACGCTATTTTTAAAAGATGGGTTATGAATGAACTTTGCCTCTTAGAAAATTCGGTGACAGTAAAATTTAGAATGCGTTGATAGATAAGAATACTGACAGATTCACATTACTTTCAGAGGTAAAAAGGGCAAACACTTAGCAGAGTAATTTTGGAATTAAAGAAACTATTATACCTGGGGTGTCTCTGTAAAGTCAGCAAACCCCTTAGAAGTGAAAAATATAGTCTCAAATAACTGACTTTGCTAATGATTTTGTTTCTCAAGACTCTGATAATGGTCGATGAATTACAAAGACTAACAAAATAAAAAATTTTATGCTCCATCTGCTTGCTCTATGAAAGTAATTAAAAATATAGTTATGCCTGGGAAGTGCTGATATTATTAAAGATGATGCCAGCAAATAGAGATGTTTTTGCATAATAAAAAGTTACAGTTTTGGTTGCTGAACAAAAGCCAAGCATGTTATTTCACTCAGCTGGTTCAAACCCAAGAAAACAGTCATAGAAAATAATTACGATTGACAATATTCCAAAAATAATATTAGCATGGCAAATGAAGCAGATAAAATCCAATTAAACATATGTCAGTGCTTTAAATACTTGAAAAGCTCTGTTTGTCATACTATAAATCAGATGATATTAGAAATGGGCAAATCTTCAACCTAATGTATAGACCAAAGCACAGATAAAGTTCTCTCATACTGTAATCAGGCAAAATTACCCAAGAGGAAACAAAACATCTTTACTTGAAACCCTGGCAGATAGACACAGCTTGAAAAGTCAGTAAGAAACAAGAGGATTAAAAAAGATTTCCACCACTGCAGGGGGTGCCTCTAGGGAGGGGGACCCAAGCAGAAGGGCACCTAAGCCCCCACCCCCAATCTGACCAAGGCTCTGAACTTTTACCTGCATTACACACTGGGGGTTCTCAGTAAGGTCTCATTTGTCTGTCACCCACAAACGAGTTTGACTAGAAAAGTGGGAAACTACAGGTGGTTCTGAAAAACAGGGGCTATTAAAACAAAATACCCAGAGTCCAGACCTTGTTTTGACTTAGTAAGAGTGTGATCCTGAGCAGGAATCTTTTGTATCTCAGGTCACAGAGCCTATAACTGGGAGCTGGATTTATGCCCAGGCCGTCCACTTACCTCTTCACTCCCATTCTCTTTTCCACTCAGTGACCCAGAGCTCACGTCGGGAATGCCTTTCCATCACTTTCTACTCCACCTCTCTACGCCCGCCCACAGCTAGTACCTCTCTACCCTCCATAACGCTCCACTGGCCAAGTCTGAGCTTCATGTGCCTTCTTGAGTGAACACGGGAACTTGGCTTTTTAGAATGTCAAGACTGGGACTTACTATTTTCCCCCAAATTTTAACAGATAAAACAGAATTAAAATTCCAGAAGATAGGAAAGAACCTTCATGCTTCATTTACTAGCAGAGGCTATTTTACCAACCTTGTTGAAGGACTCGCTACCTAAAGAATCATCAAGAAACGTGTGCATTTTAAGCATTTAATTTTTTTTCTTTTCTCTACTTACTGCAAAGAATATGGAAAGCTCAATAACTCTTTGGTGCTTTAAAGATAATTTTTAAATCAATATTCTATACATATAGTCCTGATTATATATATATTTAAGATATATATGTACATATATATTAATTTAAAAGACATGTATATTTATTTAAAAGATATATATGCATACATATCTTTTAAAAAGATATACATAAAAGATATATATGTATATATATTTTAAAAAACATGTATATATAAATATATATACTAAAGAACTAAAGTATTAGTCTCCCTTTTGTACTTGTACATATTGTATACATATAAATATATACACATATATATCTAATAAATGGAGACAATGACTTTAGATATATATAATAGGCAATGAATATATAAGAGAGACTAACATTTTAGTTCTTTTATAGTCGCCATGTGTCCTAGGCCCACCATTTATGATTTCAGGCTCTATTTGAATTTCATCAACTACTAAACAGGCTAAGATTCAAAAGTAAAATAAAGTGTTCATCTGTTCAACGCTCCACTGAATAGATGTGGAGACACATTTCCATTCCTTTCACCAGCTTACATGCATGACTGATTGAAAGGTGAAAACAGACAATTTTAGGTTTTTGGCACCTGTAGTTGAAGTGCATTATTGCCTGGAGAGCGTTTCCTCCACCGGTTGAAATGTCTCCTTCGAACCCTGGCAGAAGTGGTATCACCACATACACCCGGTATCTCTGGCTTTCCCTGCAAAAGTCAGATGCATGCAGAGAAATTCACCAAAAAAAGATAGAGTATCAGTTTAAAGATTTTATTTATTTTATTTTTTCCCCCCAAAGCCCCAGTGGATAGTTGTGTGTCGTAGCTGCACATCCTTCTAGTTGCTGCACGTGGGACTCGGCCTCAGGATGAACGGAGAAGTGGTGCCTCGATGCGCACCCGGGATCCGAACCCGGGCCACCAGCATCGCAGTGCGCGCACTTAACCACCAAGCCACAGGGCCGGCCCAGAGTATCAGTTTAAAATGACAGCCAAGCAGTTCTCATGGTTTTAGAGATTGAGCAAATGGCTTCCTACAATACACTCAATCCCATTTCAGGGCTTGGGGGTGCTGCTGGATCGGAGGCCAGAAGCTGTTATCCAAATAACAGTTCTTAACAACCTGAAAAGGTAGCTGAACATGGCAGTAAAGTGGGAATCGTATCCACTCTCTCTCTACAGCATAATCCTTCCTATGACAAAATTCATTGTAAGAAAGCCTTGCTTGATTCCCATGGAAGTGGGGTGGGCGGATTATAACCAAGTTTTGAAAAAGATGTTATCTTTATAGTTTTATGTATAACAAGTTGTATCCACAGTACTCAGCTCAGAACCTGGCAAATAGCAGGCATTCAGTTAATAATTGTTGAGTAAATGAGTTTCTACAGCTTAGATCTCAGGGGCAAAAAGACATACTGGACCCAGTATATTTTCCAATGCAAAAATCATCATTGTTTAAAAACTCTGATTCAGCTGCAAAATGTTACCCTGGGCCTTTCAAGAATTCTGAGTGACTGATGTTGATTTTTTATTTTTATTTTTATTTATTTATTTTTCCCCCAAAGCCCCAGTAGATAGTTGTATGTCATAGCTGCACATCCTTCTAGTTGCTGTATGTGGGACGCAGCCTCAGCATGGGCAGACAAGTGGTGCGTCAGTGCGCGCCCGGGATTCGAACCCAGGCCGCCAGTAGCGGAGCGCGAGCACTTAACCGCTAAGACACGGGGCCGGCCCTGATGTTGATTTTTAAGTCCTCTGCATATATAATACAGTATTTCTTGGCTCACTCTCCCAACTTAATAACAACAGCTTTGGAAAGAAAAGCATCTGAGTTGCCTTTACTACTCAATGACGTAACAAATAGAAGAAGAAAGTGCCGCTCCTTACTTTGATCTGCATTCAGTAAGTCAGAAATTTGGAGAATTATGTTCAAACAGGTATCGCCTATTTGGAGGCAAAGCTGTTAAAGTCGTTGTCTCCATTTATAAGATACACAGGAAGAAGAGAAAGCCTGGAAATGACTGGTATCCATTGTGGTCAAGGAATCTCACCCATACATCTGAGAGGCTATATTCACACACAAGTGCTGCTGCTGGTAAATTTTCAAATCCTATCCTACTTAAACTTTTCATAATACTAATTTTCTAAAGTTCATGTTCTTCTAAACAACTACATTTTTCTTTCACGTGAATATTATTACTACTCTCCGAGGGGTCAGATTTCATTACTGATGTCTCTGAATGCCAACGTATGTATCAGGGCATGTGGAGAGTGAATTCAGTTTAGGGCAGAGAGATGGCCAACAGAACGGAGTCTGGAGGCTGGTGAGCTTAACCGCAGCGCTGAGGAACAAGGAACTTGCAGTGGTTGTTGCAATGGCAGGGATTAATCACTAGATGGCAAACACAGTTTGAGTTGGGGGAGAAAAACGTTTAAAAAATGTAAACTGTTAAAGATTTCTGCCTGATAAGGGTAAGTGACTCACATCCCTAAATGGTAAACCTGACAGTGGAAAAGAAGAACAGAAAGAATACCCAAGCTATTTCCCCACAGCCAGGATTTAAAAGTACAAACGAATTAAACCAGACACTTAAAAATTGACAGCATCTGGCCCCAACTGCCTTTCCAGAACCACCTTCAGTATGATCCTCCCAGACCCCCCCTCCAGTGACTGAAGACCACTGCCCTTTTCTCAGAAGTGCACCCCGCTGCTAAGGAAGGTTGGCTGATCTGCCCTCTGTGCCCAGAACACCCTTCTCTGCCTTGCAGAATCCAACTTCTCCTTCCAGGGCAGCTAAATGGCTCCTTCCCCGGTCAAGCCACCCTGGATTTTCCAGTCAAAATTGGTGTGCTCCTCCTTCTGCACTCCCACGGCACGTGGCACGTATGTCTATTCAGCACTGCTTTTCCTTTACGCCTTAGTGATATGCTTGTCTGCTGCCTAGGCTACGTGATAAGCTCTTCTGAAACACAGGATGTACGTCCACATGTCTTTCTATTTTCGTCAGTGCCCAGTAGAGGACCCTGGCACACAGTATGCATCTGGTACAATTTGCTTTGGGAGGATGGGGTCAGGTTGGAAGAATGTCTGTTTCTGGGAAATGTTTCGTAGACAAGAGGTTAAGCTGCACCGGACTTTTTTCTTTAAATTAAAATACATTTTATTTGAATTTTTTTATTGTGGTAAAATATATATAACATAAAATTTGCCATTTTAACCATTTTTAGGTGTACCATTCAGTGGTATTAATTACATTCACATGCTGTGCAACCATCAGGATATCTATTTCCAAAACTTTTTCATCACCCCAAACAGAAACTCTGATAATTAAGCAATAACTCCCCATTTCCCTTCCCTGCAACTCCTAATAACCTCTAATCTACTTTCTATCTCTACGAATTTGCCTGTTCTAGATATTTCATCTAAGTGTCCTTTTGTGTCGGACTTATTTCACTTAGCATAATGTCCTCAAGATTCCTCCATGTTGTAACATGTGTGAGAATTTCCTTCCTCCTTATAGCTGAATAATATTCCATTGTATGTACAGACCACATTTCGTTTATCCAGTCATCTGCGAATGGGCACTTGGGTTGTTTCCACCTTTTGACTAATGTAAATAATGCTGTTATGAACACTGGCATACAGTATCTGTCTGAGTCCCTATGTTCAGTTCTTTTGGGTATATACCCAGGAGCAGCATTGCTGGGTCATATAGTTATTCTACGTTGAGAATTTTTTTTTTTTTTGAGGAAGATCAGCCCTGAGCTAACATCCGTGCCAATCCTCCTCTTTTTGCTGAGGAAGACTGGCCCTGAACTAACATCCGTGCCCCTCTTCCTCCACTTTATGAGGGACGCCACCACAGCATGGCTTGATAAGCGGTGCATCGGGGCTCACCTGGGATCCGAACCTGGGCCGCCAGCAGCGGAGCGCGAGCACTTAACTGCTACGCCATGGGGCTGGCCTCTACGTTGAGCTTTTTGAGGAACCACCAAATAAATTACATTTCCTAATGGATAATATATGCTTGTAGTACAAAATTTAAGAGGTAGAAGATTATATGACGAAAAAAATTCTCTTTCTCTGCTTTATCTTCTGGCCCCGTTTCCCTTCCCTGAGGGCAACTCCCATTACCTTCTGTGTTCTTTTAGAAATAGTCTATGAATTTATAAGCATATATATATACTCTCTGCTTCTACACAAATGTTAGAATACTATAAACACTTTTCTGAATGTTATTTTTATCATTTATCAGTGTATCTTGGAAATCCTTCGAGATCTGTACAGAGGGAGTTGCTCATTTTTTAACAACAGTGGTATGGTATTCCATCCTACATGTGTACTATAATAATTAAACCAGTTCTCTTGGTGGGCATTTCAATTGTTTCTAATTTTCTGCTATTTCAAAAAAAACTATTTTGCTGCGTATGCTGACCCACATAAGTCATTTTTCAGATTTGGAAAAATCTTAGAGGTGGTATTGCTGGTATTGTTTGTGGGTCTGTTTGTAAAAGATGGTTCCCTTTTATCCTCGTGTTTTATATAAGCAAAAATGACTTCAATATAGAGACCTCATGTGTAGGATATTAAGAAATGTCCTGTAAAAATCTTATATCTTTAGATAAAACATTTGTGCAAATTTAGTTTGTAGGAATCAGAATGTTCACATTTTCTTGCTCTGGGACTCTTTTAGCTTCATATCAAGGCCTTGGTTTTTTTACAAGGTCACAGTTCCTGAATGATGAAATTTTTAAACAGTGCTCAGCAAATTAGCAGGAACGACTTAGATTTTCATTGCTATAGAAAAAAGGGCTCTAGAATTTCAAACCGTAAAATTGTGGCTAAGTTGAAGCCAATGAAGAGAAAATTCTATGTGACAGTATGTCCCATCTCCTTCCTCGATCCAATCCCCGGAAGACGACAGTTCTCAGCTGCTGAGGATTCTCATTTCTTCTGAAACACTGCATCCTCATAATGTCAGGGTGGTGCAAATTACAGCAATCAGCTTAGGGCAAGAACCTGAGCCCCTCGAGTGCAGAATTATTTATGATTTTAAAAGCAAGATAAGAGCTAGTGGGCACCAAGCCATCATGCAGGCAATCGCTTCATCCACTTCAGTTCAGAACAATTTTATAAAATTGCATTCTCAGGCTTTTTTTCTTAAATAAGTTTTTCTTTCAAAACTCACTAAGTCTTATAGCAATGCTATGAATAATAGCTAAAAATTTGAGATAAATGTCCAATAATAGGCAGACAGTTAACTGAATTATATATAGCCACTCAATGGATAGAACATTTTTCAGCCACTAAAAATGATAAAAATGACCACTATGATAGCTTACTAGCAAAATAGTTCTGGTACTGTGTTAAAATGGCCCTAAAGCAAAGTTACAATTACAAGACAATTACAAATGTGGCAGGCTGATACTATGAAATATTAAATAATTTTTCCCCTTAAATGTGTTAACTTCTCCCATTCTGTGACATGAGATATGAAGCAGGCATTGCCCCTAGGGTGGCACTCTCACAGAGAAACCAGGACACAAAGATGTGACCTTCTTAGATTTGGAGAACCAGATAGATATCCCTTGAGCTGAGGCAGGAGAATAAAGAAATAAGGGTGAGACTCAGTGCAGAGCCCCATCCTTCACCCTCAAGCAGAATTCCAGGGAGAACATAACAGACCCCATCCCCTCTTAAACATGAG